TTTGAATTTGTATGAAAAAAAATGCCTGTGATCTGCATGTATAATGGCACACACCAAAGACTGGGGTTAAATAAAAACACAGAAGAAAACAGAACACCAAATCAGTATTTTTAACCCATTCAAAATAAGGCTCTTCAGCAGATTCTGAATCACCATGAAGATAAAACACTATCACTATTATTGTTGGTCTGTCCTTATTTCCTCTTCTCTCAAACCTACCCTTACTTCCTTCAGCTATGCTATTCAGCACCTCAGTAGCACGCAACTCCCCAGCGATGGAAGTTTTGCACATTGGCATATGATCTCTTTAGTCTGAGCAAATTTACTGCAAATAGAGCAGTGCATTACAGAATGCATACCTCATTAATGCCTCTGACTACTCAGAAAAGTAGAAATGAGATCCAGGTGCTGCTTTGATTCGTTTCTGCAACTCAGGCAGGAGAGCAGGAAAAGTTTCTTCACCAGAGGGTGGTGAGCATGGAACAGGCTCCCCAGGGTCATGGCACTGAGCTGCTGGAATTCAGTAAGCATCTGGACAATGCTCTCAGTCATATGGTCTGATTTTTGGATGGTCCTTATGGGTCCCTTCAATACTTGCAATGTTCTATGGTTCTTTGAACTCCATTTTCATTCTAAGGAAAGAATTTTGAAGCTTGTGTATTGTGCAAATGAGGTGCTATATCGTGACACTTCCACATTTCATTCTCAGCACTGTTTAGCTACCCAAGTTCTCCCAAGCCATCCAAGCCCTTGTCAAATTAACAATTTACCGAAACCCAAAGGCCATTAAAACCCCGAGACTGATGGCTTTTATTGGATGATATCCTTCAGCTCTCTCCGATATATATTTCCGACGATAACCTGTACAGCAAAAAACTTCATTCAGCCACAAGAGTGTGCATGTGAGAGGACTGCAAATCTCCTCCGCCAAACCAGAATTAGCCGGTATCGCAGGAATGAAAGAGCGTGGAGATTTGAAATTGCAGGGAATGGAAGCGAGACAGCGCACGAGCCGAGCCGCCCGGGGAGCGAAGAGCCCGGCAGCGACCGCGCAGCGCTGCGGACGATAAGCCCCGGGCCGGCGAGCGGGGCGAGGAGGAGCGGAGCGGGCGCAGGTCGGCAGCGGGACGCCGCGGCTCGGGGCGTGGGGCGGCGCGGCGGGACCCCGCGGGGTGAGGACCTCGAGAGGAGCCGGGAGGAGCCGCACGGCGCCGGCAGCGCCGCGAGCAGGGGCGCGGGCCGGGGAGCGGGCGGCGCGAGCGCCCCGAGGTCGGGCTGCGGGGCCGGGGGCAGCCCCAGGGCGGCGGCAGGCGGCGGCGGCCCCGCCGCAGCGAGGTAACTAGCGGTCATCCTTTGTGCTCGGCGGGCGGGCGGTTCCGGCCCCGCGCCCTCCCCCGGCGCCGCCCCGCGCGAAGCCCCGCAGCGCCGCGGGCCCGGCAGGTGCCGCCGCGGGGAGCGCTCTGCCGTGGCGGCGCCGCGCCTGCATGAGCCTGACTCGCGTGTCAGGGAGGGCGTGACGCGTAGAGCTTCCGAAAGCTTACAGAGCGGCGACGCGGCCCGGGAGCAGCTTTGCCGACCCCGCGCACCGCTCGCCGCCTGAGCCCGTTCCCGCCGGTCGCGGCCGCTGGTGCTCGCGCTGAAGGCGCAGCATCGCCGCGTGGCGCTCGGACCCTCCGAGCGGATCCAGGGCGGCACGCAGAGGCACCAAACCGAGCCGGGTCGCCGCTGTGTGTTGGCCCCAGCAGTCAGCTTGGCGTTTTCCTATTTCCGTTTTTCTCTCACTCTGCGGGCATGCGGCGCGCCTCTGATCTGCAGGAGTGGAGCTGATCTGACCCGTAGTTGCATCTCCAGTGCAGTCACTGACAACAGAAGTGCTTGGCATCTGTTCCGGTTACAACAAAGTAACACCCGAACAGACCCTACTTCTGCTTTTAGCAATATTTTTCCTAAATATCTTCAAAAGACAAATCATTACATGTATCTAGTGAGAATACTGTGAAGCAAACCTTAGTGCTATTTACGAAGTATTTATGAGTTATATCCATTGCACGTACCTTTAAATTCCCATTTGATGCCATACTTTTCAAAGCAGAAGCAATCAGATACTGGAAGAGGTTACAAAAGAATATGTAAAATTTTCACTGAACGGACTTTTTGTATCCAGATCAGATGTTTTTCTGATGATCCCATTAGCTTCTAATCAGGGAGCCATAGTGCCAGTAACGGCACAGGGAACTTGGATGTTTCTCTACTGACTTCGGTCTTGTTACAGCACCTGCATTTGTCTCTAAAATAGCTTGTGAGTCAGATTTTCAGAAAAGCTCAGTGTTTCTGTGGACTCCAATGTTTGAGCCAATTTTCTAAGAGCTTTGCATATCATGTGTGCTTACAATATAAAAAGCTTTTCTGAAAAGAAATCTAGTCGTTCTCCAGCTGCCCGAACAATAATCCAGATTCTCCTGTCTTTAAATGCAGCTCCTTGTGAGGGGCTGTATGCAAACACTGTTACTGAGAGAGAGTCTTCACTGCCTTGCTCACTGGGGAGGCATGTCTGACTTCATTAATCAGCTGCTATCATTTTCATTGCAGTTTCTCTAGGATTTCACAATTACTGAGAGCTCACTGGGCTTCTCTGCCTTCTGTGCTACTGTGTTCTTGTCAGTGCTGTGGTGTGGGAAGAAGGCTGAGGGCAGGTAAGAGCACTTCTGCTGGGCTGTAGGCTATGGGCAGTGAGTCAGTGGCAGCAAGAGAATCCAGACATCCAATCCTTGCTTTATCCAGTGCGTCAGGTTTGTGCAGCTATTGGAAATGACCTCTGTGCTTTTGGGTGTATTCACTCTGAACTTGTGACATTAGCATAGAAGTAATAATAAGTGAGATTCCCATTTAAAGGAAAAGTGTATGCAATTTCTCAAGCTTTGTGGGGTTGTTGTAAGCCTGCATTAACTTGCATCAAATCAGGCGAAGCCCATTCTGTCAGGAAGCTTGCACTTTCTCTACTGCTGGAAAGATGAATGTCGTATCTTTGAATCTCTATGCCAATTATTTTTGCTTTAAAACTTTTAAAAAGTTTGAAAGACATATCTATTTCCTTCCTGTCCAAAGAAGATTTCTTTTTGTATCTAGTATCAGTATGCAGGTGCACACAAAAAATAGAAGCATGAGGTTCCATACTGAATCCTCACTCTGACTCTTGAGTTACATAATCTTGTATTCCATTATTTAAGAGGTACTGTGATATCTATCATACATTTTTCACTAATCCCACACAGGCTGTACTTAGCAGCTTGAAATTTTCATTCATTCTGCTATTTCTCATTTTTTTTTTCCATTAGCATTATTATTCAGTAACTTTCTTACCTTTATGTAGTTTGTCTTTCTCTCTCTTGTGAGTGGGCCGTATCCTCAATAGGTAGTCAGATAAACTGCATCACCGGGGAATCTAGCTCCTAGTAACCTTGTAAGAAAGGGTGAAAATGCCATCTTTGAGACCTACGTACTGTAGAAGAAGGATGAAGTATAATTTTAACTGTTCTGTTCAAAGTAAAGTCTGCAACCCTCACTCCTCACCATTCCTCCCGCCACATACACAGTCCTGCCTGAAATACCCTGGAGGACTCCAGAAAGATGAATATCTCCTTCTCTTTTTGCTGCCCAATTTGGAAAGAAAAAGCCAGTAAGTCAGGGTGTGTATGAAGTGGCAGTCTGTCAGTGGCACTCATCATTTGGTCCCAGATTATCTGCTCATGTGGCAAATGTTAAATGTGCCCAGTTCTTGTTATGCCTGCCTGTGTCATCCATACTTTCCTTCTCTCCTGCTTGGCCAAGTTAGGGCTAGAGATAATGTAGTCCAGAAAGAGTTTGTATGTATGGAATTTCATAACAGAGGTACAACTTATTTTAGTTACAGTTCATTGTATGAGGCAAATCAGAGTGCTTTTGGAGGAACCCTGAAGTTCAAGCTGTCCATAGCTATATGTAATTACCTATTGCAAATAAGGGGTGTGTGGCGTTCGGAAGGTAACTTACCAGCAGGCAGCATGGAGAGGTTACATATGTGGGCAGTTTGTCGGTGATGTTTTGAAGCAGAAGCTTTGACTTCTTCTGTGCATTAACATGAAATACTTGAAGACATTCTTTTTTGTTTATCTAGCAATAAGAAAAAAGTAAAATAGTTTGGAAAACTAATAACTGAAGAAGCAGATAATCCTATACTCCTGTAAATATACTCCTATATTTAAAAATTAACAGCACAAATTTACATTAGTATAAAGTCTGAATTATTCCATTCACTGTCAATGTATTGTACAGAGGAGCTGGCCCTGAACTGGAGACATATCTTTTGAGGGCTCACAGAATACATGAAGCTCTCAAAACGAATTTTGATAACTTTCTTACCTTGTTTAACTATTGTGAAGTTGATGGCTCTTTTCTATTTCTCCAGAAAAGAAAAGAAGGGAAAAAAATTCCCATCTCTGGCTATTTGTATCATTACACTTATTTCTAGTCTCCATGGAAACCTATGTGGTGCTCCACAACCACGTAACATTTTGTTATGTTTCGTCAATCAGATGGAGGGAAGATTAGGTTCTGCATCTTGTCCATTACTCAATTAAAAATTGCTTGCAAATACTCTATAACATTGTGCTGTAGAGTAACATTTAGAGTAAGAAAGAAAGAAATGAAGATAAACAAGATATTATGACCTGATCCTACATATTTGTGCATGTAACTCTGCCACACAGGCATTGACATTAATTTGGAAGAGTTCATTGGTTTTAGTAGGATAATATGGATTAATACTATGGAATCTGAGAGTATAACAGTGAACAGTTAGTCAAACTGACTCTGACAAAGTTTTAAACTTGCCAGAGATGAAGTAACAGTCCCTTCTTTGTAATTTATATAAGCAAGGCTTTTTGAAAGTCAAGAACCTTATAACTTTATTTTTCTGTCTTCACTACTAAGGAAGAAATACATATCAAAATTTGTTTCCTCTGAAAAAGTACAGTAATTTCACCTACCTGCCTCTTTAAGATTTCTATTTCTTTATCCAAGCTTTATTAACTTGAACACGAAGGCACGTAATCTTACTGAGACAGCAGAAGGAATACACAGAGAGAGCCCAATCTTTTTCTCTGACCAGAGCCAACCCATGAAGAGTGAGTGCTCTCAGCCGCATACAAGTAAGTAAATATGTGCTAATGGAAATGATGTGACCTACTGGCACCTATAAGTACTCTTACATAGACAGCCATGATAATAAAGTATATACACATTAATTGGAAAATTTTCTAAGTACTTTGCATTTGAACAATGAAAATCAAGTACGAGGGAAAAAAGGTGAAACACAATTGTGATTTATGCTATTCACTATAACCAAGCCACCAAATCGGGTCATTTTGAATGTGTTTTGAAATTACTTGCTTTATTTGTTTCAGAATACTGTGGAAAAAATGTATGCCAGTCGAGAGGATATTGGATATGATTTTGGAGGTGACTCAAAAGTTGGAAGTAAGCCAATTAAGCCTAATCCAAACATCGATGGAGGATGGGCTTGGATGATTGTATTTTCCTCTTTCCTTGTGCACATACTTATCATGGGGTCCCAAATGGCTCTTGGAATACTCAACATGGAATGGCTTGAAGAGTTTAATCAAAGTCGTGGCTTAACAGCATGGGTTAGCTCTCTTAGCATGGGCATTACACTTATTGTAGGTATGTTCTAACATCATTTATTTCAGAACTTCAGAGATGTTTGGAATATGCTTGCTGCTCACCCTTCAAATATTTTCTTACAGGTTTCAATTTACCAGCAGAGCTGCTCAGTTTCTCCTCAGTTATCTCTTCTAATTTGTCCAGGTGACAAATTACAAATTAGAGGAAGATAGGGGACAGCAGGGAAGATGATAGAGAAGATAATTAGACCAGGCAACAATGTGAGCAGGAAAAGGATGCTTGTGACTTCAAGGTCTCATTAGAATCCAGAAAACAGGTTTTCTGCTAAGCCTGTGGTCCTCTCCATACTCTAGCTATGAGAAAATTTTGAATTTGGATAGTGAACTAATTTATATTTCAGTTGGTAACTGAAAAAAATTATTTTCTAAGTAGTGGTTGGAGCAACCCAGAGGAATATCTGTAGGTGTGTGTTTGTGTATGTGTGTAAATACACACCACTATTTCCCTGAATTAAGATCGAAAAAGTGTTTTGGTCTGCCTAAAATATTCCACTGAAAACAAAATTAAAAATTTGCTTTCTAATGACTTCTAAAAAAAAGGTCTGCACTCACAGCTTTTGCATTGGAAAAAATGGTTTCAGTTTCTTCCTCTGTTTAAGCCATTCCTTCACGGAACAATCTTGATTTTATGTCTAAAGGGTATTTGCTAAGTGCGCTAAGTAAGCTTGGTAAGACAATATATATATTTTTCCTTGAAAAGAAAGAAATAAAACCCTGAATTGAGTGAGTTAGCACTGTGCTTAAAGCATCATTAAGAATTTTTGTGTGAAATATTATTAAAGATTTTAGGGATTTAAATAAATAACATAGTATTTCTACACGTTCTTTAACAGGTCCTTTCATTGGTTTATTCATTACCATGTGTGGGTGCCGCAAAACAGCAATAATTGGAGGGATATTGAATGCCCTAGGCTGGATATTGAGTGCCTATGCCTCAAATGTGCACTACCTCTTCCTTACATTTGGAGTGACAGCCGGTAAGCTAGACAAGCATTTCAAAGTTCTTTCCGATGATTTTTGATTCCTTTGGATGTTATCTGGGTGAGTGAAAAGGGAAGTCAGACTGGTTCCTGGAGTTTTTCCAAATTAAAATCAAGTTTTAGTTATGGAACGTAACTTAACTTTTGATTTCAGTTTATTCAGCCCTCGTGTGATCTGGCATAGTGCTATAATCATGAGAGTCAGAGGCAGTGAGCAACATCCTTCATTCCAGTAGAGTCATTGCTGTTTCTCCTTCACAGTCTTTACAGATTTGTCTTTTCAGAAAGCTCATTTGTTTACACAGTGGATTATTCCCAATGGCTTTCGTTGTCATTAAAATCTACCATGTGAAGATGGCATTTTTATCAGTTTGTTCCATGTGAATATATTAGAAGGCATTCTTAATTAGAAGAATTAATGTAACCAAAACAATAACAAATGGACTTTCAAGAGATTAAAATATTGTTGAACTGTATATCTAGCTAGCTCCTCTCTTTGTCACAGAAATAAATAGCATACAGATTTTTACAGGAATTGTTACATGTTAGCAAAATATCAGAATATGATAACTACATAGTGTTTCTATAGCCATAATTAGGGTGTAACATGTATGTTTTAATAGGAAAAAAAAAAATAGATAAGCATGACTTTCTTCCAAATATATTGTTGTGTTTGTTTAATCTTCTGAATCCCTTTGAGTTGATTTGATCTGCCTGAATGAGAACAATGCATGTAGTCATAAGTAATGAGCTCTTTGCCTCAGTCTTCACGGCTAGCCAGGCTTCCCATGCCTCTTGTATCCCTGAACCTCTAGGTTGGGTCTGGGGGAGCAATATCCCTCACCCTGTAAGAGCAGAGCAAGTTTGAGACCACCTCATGAGGCTGAATGTGTACAAGTCTATGGGATCAGACAACATGCGTCCCAGGGTTCTGAAGGAAGTGGATGATGTGGTTGCCAAGACACCCTCCGTGATATTTGAAAAATTATGGCTGTCAGGCAAAGTCTCTGGTGACTGTAAAAAGGGAAACATCACTCCCATTTTTAAGAAAGGAGGAAAGGAGGACCAGGCCCTGGTACTGCTGCCCAGAGAGCTGTGGATGCTTCATCCCTGGAGGTGCTCAAGGCCAGGTTGGATGGGGCCTCTGGGCAGCCTGAGCTGATGGGGTGCAGCCAGCCCATGGCAGGAGATGGTACCAGATGGGCTTTAAGATCCCTTCCAACCTGAGTTATTCTATGATTCTATGATCTGAGCAATGCTAAGCAAGTCAATGAGCTTCGAAATATAATTAATTCCATGGCTAATATGACAGAAATTCAATGTAAAAAATGGTTTGTAATCCTAACAATAGCTGAAATGCCTTCTCTCAAACTACCCCTTCATAGGATTTCAGAGAAATCTGCAGAATTTCTGTACATAATTTGTTATCTATCTGGATGGAAAAAAAAACCCAAAACCCTCAGAAGGATCACTGTGACAACTCTTTATACTAGTGTACTATAGATTTCAGTAATTCTGTAAATTCTTGAAAAAAGAGCAATAATTATAGACAAGGTTTTGCCTTTTGGCAGTTTTTGTTTCCATACATATTTGTTATATACAGGCAGACATGAGCCTGAGTTATCTCAACCCTTGCTGCTTTTCAGAAAGAGCATACCAAAAATATTGGACAAAAATGCAAGGGTTATGCAGAGATTTTAAAAGATTTTAAAATGTGAGCTGAAAACATTGTTATCAGAAAAAAGTCTGAGGCAAATTTTTACGTGAGGTGGAGAAATGAGATGCTGTTACAGTAGAAATGTGGGGCAGAAAAACAGCATAGGAACGCCTGAGATGTTCATTCCAACTTCATGAAACCTCTGCTTGCCAGGGCCTCAGCCACCTGTTTGCTTTACTTGCCACCACTGCTGCTCACCATCCCCTCACACAACACCTCCTCACTCCCTTCACTCACTGTCCCCTCACACACCATTCCCTCAGTCGCAGTCCCCATAAGCACCATCCCCTCACTGACGGTCCCCCACACACCGTCCCCTCACTTACCGTTCCTTCATGCACTGTCCCTTCACAGGCCCCTCACTCACCGTCCCTCCCTTCTCTCACCATCCCCTCACGTACTGCCCCTCACACACCATCCCTTCACATGCCGCCTCTCCCTTCTCTCACTGCCCCTTCACACACTGTCCCCTCTCTCACTGTCCCCTTGCCATCCTCTCACTCACCATCTCCTCTGCACCGTCACTTCCTGTCAGTTTCCTTATGATCCCCTCACTCAGTTCCCTCACTCCCCATTCCATCACCCTCAGCTCATCGCTCCTCGTTGCCTTGCTGCCTGTCCCCTCACACCCTGCTCCTTCCTCATGGTTGCCTCACAGCCATCCCAGGGAAATTTCCTTCCTCCTTCAGACCGAGGTTTTCTTACAGTGGCGGCCTCCTGCTGTGGTCACTGCCTCCACACAGTGCTCATGGGAGTCCGAACGGCTGCTGTGTTTCCCTCAGGCCACGGTGACCAGCTGTGCCAGACACCCTCACACTGCATGTCCCCTGGTCCCAGCCCTGCTCCCTGTTCCACGGCACCCCTCACCTCAGAGCGGTTCCCCTCCACCAGCTCCTTATGGCATCTGTTCCATCTGCTGTCCCCTCACCTCCTGGCTGCCAGCTCCATCCCAGCCTGTTCTCTGCTCCCCACAGCAGCAGTCTGTGGCAAAATATCCCTCGGGCCCCACAGGGAGAGCAGAGCCAGGCTGTGTTGCAAAGCTGAAGTGCCAGATCTGTGAGGAGAAGATAGAGAGGCCTGTGTCCTGTGCTTATGCATAAAGGTGGCATGCCTTTGCCTGAACTAGACCTCATTTTGCCATGTAGCCCACAGAATGGAAAGATAAAGTCCATGAATGGAAAGATAAAACAATGTATAAATTTCTTACTTCTCAGGGTGTTCAGGGGAGCTCAGTAAACGCTGATGTGAGTACGAGCACAGGCAGATGGGAACAGGGCTTCTTCCATCTGTTGCAGAGCCAGCTTCAGGCCAGTATGAGGCAGGGGGTCCTCTGGAGGGCAGAGAGATTGCCTGCAAGTATTTGCCTAGATGTGGGAGGGAAGCCTCGTGCAAAACAGAAGCCAGATAATGGGCTGCACAGCATAGCAATAAATGTTTTCAGCAGGTGCAACAGGTCAGCTCTGAGCATGATACGCTGCAGTGATGTTGGGGTGTTTTTTTTCAGTTTTTGCTGGAGTAGCAGCTCTTCTCCTGGTTTAGCTGTAGCGTGTCATGCAGCTAACTTATCAGCTATTTTAGGAAAGATTTTAAGCCCAAAATGCTGTTGTAAATTATGACCACAGTAAATTTGAAAACATTTTCTGCATTCGCCATTATTGTAGTCCTCTTTAAATGGCAGGAATTGCAAAACTGGCAGCTATTACTGTTATGGATGCATTACATAACACTCAACACTTTCTGCTTGAGTATCCCAGACTTGGAAAACACTACAAGACAGAAAGTAAAGCTAACATGAGAACTGAATATTTATTCTTGGTATTACTGTTACGGTTCTGCGAAAGTTAGGAATAAATCCAGTTCATTTTTATCTTGAAGTTCAGGTTTATTTTGACTTTTCTTTTCATAGGCATCGGGAGTGGCATGGTTTATCTGCCTGCAGTGGTCATGGTAGGACAATATTTTCAGAAGAGAAGAGCACTTGCACAAGGACTCAGTACCACAGGAACGGGGTTTGGAGCTTTCTTAATGACAGCCTTACTGAAGTACCTCTGCAGGGAGTTTGGGTGGAGAGATGCCATGTTCATCCAGGGTGCAATCTGCCTGAACCTTTGTGTCTGCGGGGCACTTATGAGACCACTTTCTCCCAAAGACGTTAATGAAAAGTATGTTGTAACACGTAATAGTGAAGATCATCAGGCAAAATCTCTGTCCCATTCTGCAGAGACTATAAAATCCAATGGAGTCGTCAGTGAAGAACCAGAAAAAAAGGAAGTGATAAAAAATGAAGAAGTGCTTGATGATATTAAGCACATAGAAATTGGAGGTAAATCTCGGATTGGAAAGAGCATGTATGGACTGCGCATTCTTAAGACAGTGAGCCAGCTGACAGTTACAGTCAAGAAGGGCTTTGGAATCTGGTACTCCAGTTACTTCGGAGCTGCATCACTGTTCACCAACAGAGTATTTGTGGCCTTTATAATCTGGGCTTTGTTTGCCTACAGCAGCTTTGTCATTCCCTTTATTCATCTTCCAGAGATAGTCAAGCAGTACAATTTATCTAGTCAGAACAATATATTTCCTTTGACGTCCATTATAGCAATTGTTCATATTTTTGGTAAAGTGATCCTTGGAATCATCTCTGATCTCCCTTGCATCAGCACTTGGAATGTCTTCCTCATGGCTAACTTCACCCTGGTCACCTGCATTCTTACTTTGCCACTAATGCAGACATACATTAGTTTGGCTGTAGTTTGTGCTCTAATAGGATTTTCTAGTGGCTATTTTTCTCTAATGCCTGTTGTGACTGAAGATTTGGTTGGAACTAAACACCTTGCAAATGCCTATGGCATCATCATTTGTGCCAATGGAATATCTGCACTGCTTGGACCACCCTTTGCAGGTAAAAAGTTCAAATTTTTGACCAACAGTTGTTTTTTTTATAGATGTGTGACTTGCTATTTTATCAAGCTTTTTTATGAACACCTGTAGTTATCAAAAAGGCATCTGTTCCAGAAAGGCCTGTAACATCCAGCTTTACATTGCATATATTTACAGAACATGTCTGTTACTCACTATTCACACATTACAAATTACTATCCTTATAAATAACCCCAAATATATTACAAGTTGTACTTTCAAGGGTATGTTTCTTTAAGATATTATCATATCCTTTTTAAAAATCAGAAAGGATAACCTGTTTTTATATGTTCATGTAGCATAAAAACTATATTCACATACACGCTCATGCCTATATCTAGATGAAAAATGATGAGTAGTTTTCAGGATATTTGTACCATAGTATTTGCACCAAGAACTATAAAGTGTGTTTGGGCTTCATCACTCTAAGCTGCCCATAGATGTATTAATTTAATGGACTTGTCTTTGCCTTTCTTCTGCCCATGGTACCTACTTTTGAGAGTGTACTGCTCACAGTCTTATTACTGCTTTACACAGCAGAAGCCAAAGTGCACAAAGCATTATGCCTGAAGTCACTTAGGTTTAAAAAACATTCATTATAAATTTTCTCATACAAAGAAGTTGGGAAGTGTGGTGGGGAACTTATGGGGAGAGATGGAGGTGGTGATGGTCAGTACTGTAGTCAGACTATGGCTGTCTGTAAGAGAGAAGCAAATCAGAAGGAAGCTGTAGGAAGCCTTGTGACTTACAGCAGTGGTCAGGAGTGGCACTGGGCTGAACTAAAGCCAGTTTGACCACCAGCAGCCCAGGAAAGACAGAATGCTCTCATCTATCCCCACCATCAAGTGAGATGAAATGATTTAGAAGAAAGCGCATTTAGCATCCTTTGAAAAGCATCAGACTTTACCATATACTCTCTGCCTCTCTCAGTCTATGCTCAACGTAGCTTCGTGTTTGGTCATTAGTAATTAAGCAAATTGGATGTGACTAGTCAGTGTGAAAAAAGCTTCTGATATTTAGATTACATGGCAATACAGCCAGAATGAAATGGGGTAATTTCACTATTTGGGTTCTCAAACCTTTCTGAATTAGTTTTCATGTACTTTTGCAAAGGGATTAGGGCTGGAATGGGATTAATTGCAGTACCAAGATTTTTGAAAAGTCTTTTATCGGACATTTTGGGAATGTCTTTGCTTGCACAAGGAGCAGTATTTAAGCTAGCCTACATGGCACAGTAGCAGTACTGGGCATAGCAGTATTGGGCATAGCAGTAATAGCAAAGAAAACAGCAGAGTGGAAGAAGTAGTTCGTTTGGGATTTCAAATTGTTTAAAGTCAGATCTATACAGTAATTTGTCTGAAAAATGTACAGTTTCAGATAGAAGATTGCTCATGGTCTAGAATGGCATACAGCTAACATCCCATTTTAAGATTCCATAATACTTACATGAGGGTGATAGGTATTGAATTAGTTTTGGGTTATGGTGAGTGACCAAGAGATTTTGTTATGCATTTCTATTTGCCTTCTCTAGATGCTACAATCCCCACATTATCTTTTCTTCAAAGCAACTAAGGTATTCAGTAAAATGTCTTGAGAAAAATGTGCAATATCTTTCATATATTCCCAAGCAATTTACCTTTTTGTCAAGCTTTTAATATGCATTTTTGTCCTTATTTTGCAGGTTGGATCTATGACATCACACATAAATATGATTTTTCTTTTTATATATGTGGCTCACTATATATGGTGGGAATATTATTTTTATTTATGCAACCTTATATTGGAAAGAAACAATCACAAGAAAAATCTACCGAAGAGGCACAAGTATAGAACAAATTCCAGATTTGTTTGTTTTTTTTTTTTTACACAATTTATTTCTTTCCATGTTTCTATTGCATGCAGTTTAAAGCTGTTTTTCTTAAGGAACCAACCACATTGAGCTGTGCTTAAGTACTTACGTGAAAGGAAAATGTGCAGCAAAATTATAATAATTTATTAGAAATATGCTTTTAAAGTGACGTAAGATCTTTAGTACAAACAATTATAGAGTTTAAAAGCACACTGACAGTCTTAAAATTGGAGCAATGTTAGAAATATTTACTTTTGATTCTCTTAACTTTTCACCACTAACCTTTGGTGAAACTCCATTGACTGCAGTGCAGTTACTTCTGATTTACACGAGTCCTGTAAGACAATTTGATCAGGATGCAAATGATTTATAAAAATCCTTCCTACTGAGTATCCTATCTGATAAAAGATGAGTTAGTACATATAAGAAAATGATTGTATTTCTTACCTGGCTAGTCCAGTACTGCTGAAATTCTAGTACAACACTTCAATGAGTTCAATATATGAAAATTCAAGATTCTATGATGCAAAGCTGAAGAAAAATTCTTATGTTTTTCTGAAAGGGCTCTCTACTTGAACAATTTTTTTTTTTTTTTAATTATCAAGTGCGTGATAAATTAGCCATCCTCAATATGTGGGCTGTATTATACGTGCTCTGACACTTAATGCACCTGAAGGAAAACAAACAGAAAAGCAAAACCAGAAAACTGATGGAAAATATTAATTTAATTCTTCAACAGAAATGATAAGCAGCAAAAGCTGATGATCTATTACACCAGTTCCACACGCATGAGTTACCACATTCAGATAGACTGATTTCTGCTTTCAGATTTGACTTCTCCAGCAGTTACTCATGATCTATGTTGATGGAATTGAGAACAGAATATGGAACTGTGTATACAGTTTTCTAGTTCTGCTCACTGAAATTCAGCTCTTTCATTGTGACAACATCCAACGTATGTTGGATTTCACTGTAGCTGTGTTAACTGTCCTAGAGCTGGTGATCATACCTGTATCAGGTAGAGATACCTGACACAATAAGAAAAGCCTTCTGTATTTTTAGAAATACAGAAATTTTTATTTATGCTTTGAAAAGTTAAACTTGATCTGACTTTTGTCTGTGGTCTTTTATGATGGAAAAATAATTTATTTAAATGAATAATAGCCCCTTCATTGTAAAACAAAACAAAACAAACCAGTATATTTAAGGGAGCAAATGCTATTGTTATGGCATATCCAGGTTCTTACAGGTTCTTAAGCCTGCCTTGTTGTTTGAGACCTTACGGTGAAAGCATCACATCACAGACTGGAAAATACTTCCAGAAACAGTTTGACCTTTCTGGCCACTGTCTGGCTGGGACAAGTAAGCCGTACTACAGAAACAGAGCTGGGCAAAACTGGCCAAATACAGCGTAAGAAAGAACTGAACTACAGCATGCTAAATTTTGTTACAATTAACTTCAGAATAAAAACTGTAGAACTATGAACACTTGTGTTGCTGCATACAAGTACACCATGAACTGCCTAAGACTGGTCATGTTTTAGATGTTTACTCACTAGCAAATTAGATAACACAAAGCATGGAAGAACTCCAGTCAATTTAAAATATTTAAATAAATTTTCTTAAACAACATTAATGCAGAATGTTTTGAATAATATCTACATCATATATCTCAGCTTTGACAGGTGAGCCTGATGTTAGTTTTCCTATATGAAATAAATGTTATTGTTTCTTTTTCCTGCTTGCTTCACGAATGCTTTTTCATGACATTACTACTGATACATGCCACTTGAATTCTCCAAAAGCAATCAACATTTTTCAGTTGTATTGAAGAAATATTTAAAATAGTTCTTGAGGTGAAAACCTCAAGAAAACCCAAAACTATCTAAAGATTTAGATAATTGATATTATATGTATGGCCTTTAAAATCCACATTAAAACAATTGAGGTGGCAGTGAACTGCAACATGTGGCATGAATAAGCAGCCAGTTTATTTCTTAAAATCAGACTTTTTTGCTGAAGAAAATATTCATGTAAACTACACCAACATCAGTTCTTTAGTCACAGGTTTAATGTCTTGGTGTAAATGCCATTGCTAACTTATTTTAGCTGAGCTCTCTTTCATTGGTGAAATATATGTATTATAGTGATAATTTGCCTCAATTTCCTTCTATTTTTTGAAAGATATATAGTAACTATACTTAAAACCTCACTTTGCCTTTTGTTAAAATCAACTTTATTTGCATATTACTGTAATGAATATGTTGTTCATTTATATCAGCAAATTACCTTCCTATACAAGTCCTTAATGAGCCATACAATGGGAATAAACATTTAATACCCCAAATTTTACTTGCTGTTCATTTACTAGTTAGGTTCACTTCTTAAGCTTAAAACTGAAGATTCTCCTGCAAAATGATTGCTCACATTTCTTGTAACAGACGATGGGGATACAAGACTGATCAAAGAGATAAGAAAGTGGGCTGAGTGAAAACAGTGAAATGAGGATACCGAATTACTATTAACTCAGCCCATACTGACTAGTGTGGGTTCTAGTTTCCTAACCTGAAACTGCCTAAAATCACTTATGTTACAAACTAACAAAGAATTAACTGGTGGTAAATTCACAGAAAGTGAGAACAACGAAGGTCTGTTTAGTAGCTCTATTCTCAGTTCTTAAAATCATTCTATAAAGCAAAGTTACCTTTTACAGCGTTTTATTACAGAACAGAAATTTCATGAATACTGCACTTTATGCACGTCATGATTTTTTTGTCATTGTCCTGAAATGAGAATGGCATGAGGAGAAAAGACTGTAAGTATTTAAAGTGAAATTTTTCTACCTAAAACACTACAGGTGCCAAGTTCTTCAAGAATATTGGTACATAGCTGTAGAACAGGAAAACAGGAAAAGAGTTTGCATCATTGTCTACACCTGGCTATTTTCAGTGATAGCAGACATTGTAACTGGTTCTTCTCCCAGATATTCCTGTTCTCTGTATGTGTAACTGCCATGACTTACATGGAGTGATACTAGATTTCTCCAGTGTAAGTTGCAGGTATTGCTGGGACAAGGGCTAATAGCTTTCAACTAAAAGAAAGCAGTTTAGATTAAACTTTAGGAAGAAATTCTTCATTGTGAGAGCGGCGAGGCCCTGGCACAGGCTGCAGGCAATCTGTGCGTGTCCCACTGCTGGAGGTGCTCAAGGCCGGGCTGGATGGCCCTGGGCAGCCTGAGCTGGTGCTGGATCTCGCGGCTGGCAGCACTGCCTGTGGCAGGGGAGTAGGAACTGGATGGGCTGTAATGTCCCTTCCAACCCAAGTCACTCTGTGACTCAGGACAGTAACCGAAGTTGGAAAGCAAAAGCCCTGCAGCAACTCCGGTTACACGCTGCCAGTGGAGCCCCACGCCTGGAACTGCTTCATTCACTGACTTCAGCAAAGCTGTACCAGGGTTCACGCCGTCCTGTTTCTGTTGCTGAACCACGACAAGGATCGTATTGCAGGCCCACACAACGTGCTACCAGATTTTAGCAAAGGAAAGGCAGACAATACTGGGGAAGAGCTACTGTAGAAGTCACGAGGAAAAAATACACGCATTTCAACTTCTTCCGTCTATCTTTCCCTAACCATCTTGCTGTTCCTCAGAGAAGCAGACACCATTAAGCTAACGATAGCAAAGCCCGCTTTCTAGCACTGAGGGCGCTCTACGGGGAACGGCCGCGCGGTGACGCCGCGCCGGGCACAGCGCTGCTCCCGAGCTCCCCCTGGCGGACTGCCGCGCTGCGGGCTGGGAGCTGCCGCGGCCCCGCGCTGCTGCGCCCATCCGCGGCCTCGCGCAAAGCAGACGAAGCGCCCAGCGCTATCCTGAGCTCGTGCCGGGCGACACCGCGGCAAAGAAGCGCCTGAGAGCGTTATCTGGAAATCTCATCGGGTGCTTGAATGACGGTGCCTAAATTTGGAACTCTGCACAGCATTTCTTCTCGAAACTGATCTTCTTTTGCAGTACTTACAAGTAACAGCGAGTGAAAATCCAAAACACCTTGAAACACCTATTGTGGGCACGCGAATGCCCAGGAGAACTATACAGCGAGAGAAAAAACCAAAACAAAACACGAACACCACTGCACGTTGGCTAACAACCACCTGCTTCATGCATGGTGCATGAGGATGCACGGTACCGGATGGAAGCACGTGGAAGCACAGGGACGGCTCCTTACTGCCCATCCTCGGGGAGCAGCAGCAAGCAAGGATGCCGCAGGAGCTGCTCCCTGCCCAGGGGACGGACTCTGCTGGTTATGAACTGAGGGGCAGTTCAGCCCTGTGCTCCCCCATGCCCTTCCTGGACAAACAGCACGCCTGATGTGAAACCCCCCAGAACTTCTCAATTTCCACCTTCCGTGCTCTCTTAAACTGGAAACCAAACCAAACCAAACCAAAAAGTATAAATAAATAAATAAAATCAATGCCTCCATGCTAAAATATTATTGTAACTTTGACATACTACTTTTCCCCTCTGGAAAATCTGAATACGTGATTTTATAATTCCACTTAGAGCAGCACTCCAGCCTACACATAAATTAATCTGAAATTAAAAACCATAGCATTGTGGCAAACTTTCAATTTCTTAAAAATACTTCTGAAATGAGGGAATGAGAGCATAGCATTACTACGTTATGCAATAGGTTATTTCTTTGTGCCAGAATCTTTGTTAATATCCAAGTTAACACCTTCTAGGACTTACTTTCTAAGTTCCAGACTATCCCATACACCTGTTAAGCAACCAAAATGTTCACTGCCTCCTCAGTACCTAATCCTACTCCATCCATGCTCCAGAAATGACAGATATATACTAAGACATTTCCTGACATCCCTTCTGTCCATTCTCTTCCTCTCCTTTAATCACTTCTCATCCTCTGCTGGTTGTTTTCCAGTCACAGTATCAACTTTTTTTAATCTCCAAATTGATTTAAAGGCCTGAACTCAGCAAGCTTATCGACTTCCAGCTGCCCATCACATCTACATTTACAACATGCACTATTTTACTCTCTTGGCATTTTCTCCTGTGCTGTCTTTACACCATCTTTTGTTTCTTGTGCTTACTTGATCTCAGTCACAAAGGCAGCTGTAATGCATTTGCAGTGACACCCTAAGAACACACAGGTACAGCCATTTCCTTTTCAACTGTCAGCAATCTTCCACAGAACTTTTCTTGAAATATTGGGCCACACAGCTTTGAAACAATACACAGCCTGTAAGTAATTTCACTCTGATACAGTTTGGAGATGTACTCTGTACCAGAGGCATGACCTGTTCAACAAGCTAAAAGGTTAATCTGTCACTCTGAAGCCTCTCCAAGAGTATCTAGCTGTTGTATGAGCTTCAAGATGACTAAACCTGTTTTTATCTTTCTCCTTAGGCCTTGCCATTACTTATGTTTTCAGTAACTGTAAAACCCGTAACTGGACAGGCTTCATTCTAGGTTTCTACAGCACCCCTGGGGATAAGAATCAAGTTATTTTTCTCTTTAATGTGCTTATCTTCCTATATTTCATAAGCTAAACCCCCTTCTCCCCCTCCTACCGTGGTTACTGCAGCAGCCTTCTCTACCTTTGACTGGGATAGCAAATGCAATTTCAAGATATTCAGAGGTACCAGAATAATCTTCCTAGATCACAGCTCTGAATGATCTTCCCTTCTTTCCAATCACCTGTTGCTGCACTGAACAAGAAGTTGGAATTGACAACCTCTAAGAACCCCTTCCAACCCAATCTCAGTTATTCTACAGTCTCCTTTTTTTGCACCAACAGATCAGTCCTCAGTCTTGCGGGACTTCCAGGCTACTCTTCCCCTATTTGCTCCCCCTCATTCAGCACTGAGAGGCTCCCTTCAGCTTCATTCAGCCAGTGTGGCAACTTCTATTGTTTACTGTTCAAATTTTTCAATTTAGTACGTTCACACTATTTCCCATACTTTCCTGATATTTGAGAAGAGGTTGCAAGCAAGCTCAGGACCATCTCTTTCTCCTCCTGCACTTCAAGCTTCTTGCTGCAAGGTGTACAAAAATCTTAGAAAACAAACAAACCAAACAGCAACTCCCTCCAAAAACCTCTCTTTCCTTGTGCTCCTGTATTTATTCATAGTTTTAAGTCTTTTGCCAAACACTTAAAATGTAAGCTTTCTAGGAACAGCAATGTTTTCTTGTTTGTTAATGAGTCTACCAAAGGGGATCCTGCTCTGTGGTTCAAGTTTATAGACATCACAGTAATACAAATCGTAATGCAAAGCATAGGTCTTACATTTCAAATACTTAATCCTGGAAGTAGCACATAACACTCAACCACGGGTTACAATGACACAATGGTATTATTTGGATCTTTTTTAAATTTTACTTTACTTTATTTTTTTTTACTATTTCAAATCTACATGAAACTTGAGAGACCCCGGCAATATCTTCAAGTTCCAGAGAGGAAATAATGTCCAATAGCAAGGGGACAGGAAGCCATTCCAGGAAGCCGTATTTACCTCGGCACAGATTGAGGACATGTTCCAGAAGTTTGGCACCAAACGCTACAGCAATTTGAATTGTTATTAAGAAAAGTCCCAAGAGACAACAGATTTGTAAAAGCACACAATTTCTTCCCTGAAAATCTCACATTTCTCACACCAACATTAACAAAATCAACTCAGTTTCTCTGGATGTTCTCTGGAGAAAAGAACATGTACCTAATTATCAATGATTAATGTTCAATAAATTTCTCAGTATATTTCAATACATTTTTCAGAGTTAGCAGTGACTACAGCCTGCACATGAAAATTAGGCTCTAGTTTAAAAAAAAAAAAAAAAAAAAAAGCAACCCAAAACCTGCACACAGAGCCAACTCTTCTCAGCTGAGGAACATTAAAGCAGCAGTAAAGCAGAACTGAAACTTGCCCAGATCCATTTTGTCCTCATACATATGTATGTATTTACATAAACACCATGCTATTTATGGAGGAGGAGGTCAGTAAAACTTCAGCTGTATGCTTTGGGGAAAATAATGATGGCTCTGAAATTAAGAGTCCCTCCACTTCTGCTTCTTATCAGGGACTGTTAAACCAATAAAATTAAATTGAAGATGATTATCTTCCACAGTGACATGACATTTTTTGACTCATTCACATTGAGATCCAGTACAACATCAAACTTTTTTCTACCAAACTGTTACTTAATGTGCTATTCCCTGTGCTGTATGCATACAGCTGATTTATGCATACTTCTGCTTTAGCGTCCAGCTTGGAACTTGTCCTTATGAATTCAACACTGTTTCTTTAGATCATCTATCTATTTTATCAATGTGATTTTAAAACACTTGTTCATAAGAAAACAGGATTGTTTTACATACTTTTTCCATATTGAGATCTAGTAATCAAAATTGTAGTTAGAAATATAAATTAAAGCAGAATTACTATTTTATTTACAATGAAATGGTTCTCTTGTATCTAATTTTTTTTTTTTCTTCTTTTTTTAACATCTGTTATAAAAAGAGAAACAGAATTCTGGAATTTGAAACCATAATGTCTGTAGAAATTGCATTAAATTTTGATGCAGTAATATTCCTTCCAAGATATTTGTTAAGACTGGCTACAAAAATCAAGCTTATGTTTATATATATACACATATAAACATACTCATATGAAAGAGCTTCCTAGAATTTTTTTCCAAAATATTCCTAAGGAAACGATGTAGAAAGAATTTGTCACCTTACTGTTGTTTCACATCTTTCGAGCAGACTGTCCAGTACTGTTCAAGATTTCTCATCTGTTGCTGTATCGCACTGCAAGCACAAATAATTTGCTGTTGGTTCTCATTTGCTTTATTGTTTTTTTCCAAGCATCTGATCTCTACATAGTTTGTTATTTTGCTCAAATTCTGTATGTAAATACAAAAATGATCTATGCAGTCCATTTAAAATTGCCTGGCTGATTTCATGCAAGCTGATAGGTGAGAATGATTCAAATCTTGCATACTAGGAATGACAATGATACCAGTGCTGCTAATACTCATCTTCTTTTGTTGAAGACTAAGAGGGCTACCACAGCAGTATTTGCTGCTCACTGAGTTTTTTCCAAAATTATTTATTTCTAGAATATGGCCTGTTTTAGCTACTTAAAATAGCTG